GGTAAACTTTGGAGGCTACTTTGACCCACCCCACCGCCCCTTGCAATCTGGTGGGATCTAAATTTCACAAAATAAACAAATTATGCAAATATTTGATTTTTTTTCACTGAAGACTACTTGCCCCAAGCATAGGGGCAAGGGTCCTAAGCCAAGGGTCATCTAGTCCAAACCCTGCAGTAAAGAAATCCCCCTGGGCCCATAATCCAGATATAGGTATAAAAAGAGAGTTCCCTGGATGCCAAGTATCATACATACAGCAGAAAGCAGCCTATAGATTCAGAAGTGATTGTGTCCTGCTTCCTATTTAGGTTAACTTAACTTTCTTTTCTAAAGTATCTAGCAATGATTTGATGACTCAGTCATGCAGGATTCCATGATGAGTGACTTCCTCCCTGACTCTGACCTCCATGGGATTGCTCTGCTAGTCTTATACATTTCCCCCTTCATTTGTCTAATAATAATAATAATAATAATAATAATAATAATAAGCCACTCTGGGTGGCTTCCAACAGAATATTAAAATACAATAATCTATTAAACATTAAAAGCTTCCCTAAACAGGGCTGCCTTCAGATGCCTTCTAAAAGTCTGGTAGTTATTTTTCTCTTTGACTTCTGGTGGGAGGGCGTTCCACAGGGTGGGTGCCACTACCGAGAAGGCCCTTTGCCTGGTTCCCTGTAACTTGGCTTCTCACAGGGAGGGAACCGCCAGAAGGCCCTTGGTGCTGGACCTCAGTGTCCGGGCAGAACGATGGGTGTGGAGACGCTCCTTCAGGTATACTGGGCCGAGGCCATTTAGGGCTTTATAGATCAACATCAACACTTTGAATTGTGCTCGGAAACATACTGGGAGCCAGTGTAGGTCTTTCAAGACTGGTGTTATGTGGTCTTGGCAGCTGTTCCCAGTCACCAGTCTAGCTGCCGCATTCTGGATTAGTTGTAGTTTCCGGGTCACCTTCAAAGGTAGCCCCATGTAGAGCCTATTGCAGTACTCCAAGCGGGAGATAACTACAGCATGCACCACTCTGGCAAGACAGTCCGTGGGCAGGTAGGGTCTCAGCCTGCATACCAGATGGAGCTGATAAACAGCTGTCCTGGATACAGAATTGACCTGTGCCTACATGGACAGCTGTGAGTCCAGAATGACTCCCAGGCTGTGCACCTGGTCCTTCAGGGGCACAGTTACCCCATTCAGGACCAGGGAGTCCTCCACACCTGCCTGCCTCCTGTCCCCCCAAAACAGTACTTCTGTCTTGTCAGGATTCAACCTCAATCTGTTAGCTGCCATCCATCCTCCATCATTCATCTTTTTCTTTTAGAAGCATAGTTCCTTTATCAGTTTTATAAATTTAAAAAATGACTTGCATTCACTGTAAATGGTTAATTTTTCTCCTATTTTACCTTAACTATTTCTACCTAAAACTCCTTTATCTTTGCAGTTTTATTTTCCTCTCAGTTTAGCCTGAAGATTTGATGTGGACTTTATTCCAGGCACATTAAGGTTTGTGTTGCTCCAGGTAACTGCTGCAGCCCAGGAAGGGGTAGAAAATTTGAATTAGCACAAAGAAAGAGCCTGGCAATCAACAAACCATTTGTAATAATGGGGTGGGGAGAGAGGAAGCAGGAATCTACAGGAAAATGCTGTTTCATGCCATTATTATCTTGAGGCTTTATTGTTTCATTGCAGGTAATAGTGAAGTGTGGGCGGATAATGTGATTTCAGAGCTAGCAAAAAGCACTAAAAAAAAATTCAAATGTATTTACCTATGGAAAAATCTCACACCGTTCTTCCTCTTCTCTGTCTTTTAATCTTCTTGCTCCCATTTGTTACCTCTGCCATTTTCCTTTCTTTATGTAGGATCAGGATCAGGAAAGAATTGGTGTGTTTTGTGGGGATCTCCTCTGAGCCTAAGTACTTGGGAAACAGCAGTTCTCCTTTTCCCACAGAAGCTGGTTTTGAGGTTGGCTCAGAGATGCCACAGGCTGCTGTACAGCCATAGCCAAGTGCCAAGAAAGCATCACTTCCCCCCCCCCATCAAGCAACTCAGAATCAAAGGGGACTGGATGCTTTTCGCCAGTGCTGCCAGAGTACAACTTTCTGCCAATATTGCTGCTAGATGTGAAAAGTTAGCAGAACCACAGAGCAAGAGAAGACAGGAGAACTGTGTGCTGCGCCTCTCCCGAGCTCAGAGAACCCCTCTTCCTTGTTATTGCCACTTTATATATTCCTGGCATTTCAAATAGAGTTGATCCCTGGGCTTCGATGAAGGCCAGATCATTTCTCTCTTCCAACTATGCTTTCCAACTTCGCACTTCTCTCTTCCAGCTATCTTTCGACGAAGATGAAGATGGCGGAGATGGCGACGAGGTAAGAC